AAGAGGAAAAATCAGAACTAAAATAAAGTGTTCTAAGATTATCTTAATTTTTTTCTTCGAAGAAAAATTTAAATTTTCTAAGCCAACCTTTCATTTGGTCAAAATAGCATAATAAACAGCAAGTGAATCTACTGATTAAATTACAGATAAACAAATGATTTGCAGGCTTCATCTAATCTGCATATATCAGAAATATATGCAGTGCTTACTTTCCAGTGGTGAATGACCCACAACAGCTTTCTTCTGTCTAGCAGTCTTGCCTTTACAAAAAAAAAAAAAAATATTCCTTGAAGTGTGTGCTACCACCTAGCACAAAATTTGACAGCTATATTTAGAAGCTCGGTATTTAAATAGTAGCTGACATTTTAACCCAATTATAGTGATAGTAAAAAATCATACCAGTAAGAATAATTGGTTCTAGGACAATGCTGTCCGAGAAAACAGTAGAAAAAGCCTTTTGCTGTTAAGTCCGAGGGTTACTTCTGAAACATATGCTGCTTGTTCATTCAAGTTTAGCAAAATATTTATTAAGTAACTGATTATTTCATAATAAGAAAAGCTGTCCCCTCACTTTTTATTTTAAACAATTTTAGCTTCCTATCCTCCTTCCTAAAAAGCTCCCTCTCATTAATTAATTAATCTCATTAATTTTTATATCTTCAAAACCAAAGAAACATATTTCAGTGCCTGAAATATGTGTTCAAACATCTGTTAAATAAATAAGTGCATAAACGAATAAGTAACCATCTCATTAGTTCACATAGTAATCTGAGTGAAATTCAGCCGTGCTAAGTGCACAATTTTAGCCAAATGCAAGAACATGCTAAAATACTTTTAGAGAATTAGATTATCATGACCCCAAAATAACCTATGTAAATGAAAAATAAAAATTCAAACCAGATTCTCCCTAAATTGATCACTTATAAATTCAAATTTGTTTACTTTTTGACTCTTAACCAATGAACACTGTAATGAAAATCTACTGATATCCAATTTTAGTATTATGATAAAGGGAAAATTTTGTGTTAAGAGTAAATAATAGGGGCTGGGGATGTGGCTCAAGCGGTAGCGCGCTCGCCTGGCATGCGTGCAGCCCGGGTTCGATCCTCAGCACCACATACAAACAAAGATGTTGTGTCCACTGAAAACTAAAAAGTAAATATTAAAAAAAAAAAAAAAAAAAGAGTAAATAATAACCAAGGAAGCTTCTAGGACTTGCAAATAATATGGATCATACTACTATTTCTATAAAATTACAGAGTATAGTTCCATAAAGATTTACACACACAAGTCTCATTTCTGAATATTCTCTGAGAAGGTAAAAGGTAGAATATATATAAAATATTGAGTCAAATTAACTAATACAAGATCAACTTAAGAAACATACTTGTATTAAACCATATGCTGGTTCATCAAGAAGATTTTCAAAAGACTGTGAAAGACTTTTATTCGGACAATTCACAAGAAGTGTTCTTTTATCCTGTGGAGATCTGTAATGAAAAGGGGATTTATAAAAACTTCTAGCATACTACATCAACACTGCCTGCACAATTACTAATGCATAGTTACTTTTCCTAGCAAAAGAAAAACTTAACATCCAGTTCTAGAAGTTTCCCAAATAGTCTAGCAAATATTTAATAACTATGTTAAATGAGTTCTCAACTACATAATAAATTAGCAAATACTAAATTAACAAATTGTATACAAAAATTAATAAGTACATTTTTATTCTAGGCAAAGCTAAGATGTTTAAATTGTAATGAACCCAAATTCTTGTTTAGAATTATAGGAGAAAAGTTTTTTTAAAATGTCTGCCTTTATTATCATAAAAATTAAAAAGCCAAACAACTGTATATGATCTGAACAATACAGAAAAATATGTCTTTTTTTGAAATGGTTCCCAATTTCATTCCACAGTTTGGTAAGTAGTACTGCTTTACAACGTTTTAAAAATATAGATACATAGTTATTTGGTAAAGATCATTAATCATGCCAACCACAGTTATCAATACACACATATGAACATATTTAACAAGATTATTATATATTATTTACGTAACAGTATATTTTTAGTTTTCTTGCTTATTGAAATTCTGAAAGTCTCTCTCCACACTTGTTAGTAATTACACAATAAATAACATGCTTTCCAACTAGACATCTAATTTCAAGTAATGAGACTAATTAACCAATCTTTTTTCTATTACATATAGTAAGTTTTTATACTTAGGTTGTAATAAACATATAACTTTGGTGTTTAAAATCAAAATTAAATGTGCTATTTTACTGCTGTTAACACCTCTAGGTTATTATAAATGTTCAAGATAAGATCTTTAATAACAGTTATCTCTTCTCAATTCTAACACAACAGGACGTAACAAGAATGCTACAGAGAATATGAAATCCAAAACAAGATCTTATTCTTACACAGTCAGAAACAACACTGAATCTGTAGAAACAATAGCAGCTAATAAGCCCAGTGATGTTTTAAAAGAAACTGAGGTTATTCTTTGACATGGGGAAAATGTAGTTGAAAACACTCAATTTTCATCAAACATATTTTCCTAAAATTTTGGGGGATAGTGGGTATGATGGAGATTTATAAATTCTCACGAAGCATTTTTTTTTAAATGCTAGGCCAATTTTGTTTTTGGTTATAACACTAATGGACCTTTATTTATTCATTTATTTATATGCAGTGCTGAGCATCAAACCCAGTGCCTCTCACATGCTAGACAAGTGCTCTACCAACTGAGCCACACAATTCCAGCCTAGACCAACTTTTAAATGTAGCTCAGAAAACAAAAGAAATTAATACAAGAACATTTTTTTTCTTAGTGCAGCACTATTAGTACTGTGGATATTTTGTTTCTAACAATAAATTACATCAAATTATTTCTTTAAAATACTAATTAGAAAGTGGTCATGAAAGTCAATAAAACACTGCCCATCATGGGTGGGGGGAGGGGATGATGGCCAAAAAACATGCAACCTTCGGTTATCTGAGCTCAGATAACTCTATGGCTCCGTAACAACTAAAGTGGTCACTAAACTGAAGATGGGAAGAAAAAAACTGACTTACCAACAAGCAACCCCAAAAACTACTTAAAAGGAAATATTTTGTTTTTTATACCTAATTCTGTAATGATAGGTGGAGGAACCATATGAGAAAGAGAAATAAGAAGAAATTTAAGACCTGATTGTCCTGAAGGAATCAACAAAACATTAAAACGTCAGTCAAGGGACAAGCAGTGTAGTGCTAGGCAACTATACACTCCAAAAGGGGGAGACTGCCCTTATAATATTATTACAATGTTTCTAATTACTAGGTTATCACAACACTGTTTTAATCTACAAATGTGTATTCTGGGAAGCTGATCTTTTATGCCAACATTATTCAAAATGTTCAAACTCACTGCAACAGTAAGATAAACTTTTAATGATGCTAGTATCATCAATTCTATTAAAACCCACTAACAAGCTTAAAGAAAACCGTAGTCTAATATTACAACAGAAGCATATCTCCCGGAAACTCTGCAGTGCATCCCAGGCTTTGGAATGAGTATCTAATCAAAGACCTGAAGATAAATTTAGAAACTATAAGTAGAACAATGTTTGTATGCTGAGATGAAGTAGCAAACTTATATTGCTATTAAGAATGCCTAATATGGGGCTGGGAATATAGCTCAGTGGGTAGAGGCTTGTCTCACATGCACAAGGCCCTGGGTTCAATCCCTAGCACAAAAAAAAAAAAAAAAAAAAGGAATGTCTAATATGTAATGCTAAAAAAATACAATAACATTGCAAAGGATATCAGTAAAAAAAATGTGAATAAAAAATAGGTACACAATATTTACAATAACAAAATGTTATATCTAGAACTTAACCTTGTACATGGTACTTTATGATGATACAACCCATTTGGCTATGGGAGGGGGAATATTTTACTATTTGGATATTTACCTATTAATGTAAAAATGGCCAAATATACAAAATATTAATGGAATAAGCAGGCCTCATTTATATCATTGCAACCAACTTGGTTCAAGAAAGCAAGTAAAAATGGACTTGTGATTCATTTTTTTTTTTTTAACCCAAGTGAATATTATGGTTTAAGTGATGATAAATAGACAACACTTATAAACATCAATGAATATGATGCCTTGTTTTCCTGGGATAAGACAACCATTTGAGAAATACTAAGCCTCAAGAAACTGGGTTATTTTGCACTCTGATTAGGTTTACAAGAATGAAAGAGTAAACTAAGCACTGTTGGCCTAGCCTCTTTCTTCCTGGCTCTTGTAAGGCTGTGAATCCCTAGCACAATCTCTACTCAACCATATGGCAAAGCCTTGCTACTGTGAGAAAATACCTACTGTTTAGGGAGGAATACTTAATTATTAGGGAGTGTATTAGGACGACAACATAGCCAAAGTTATAGGCAACAGTCTTCAATTTAGCTTAATTTTAAAAAACCAAACACAGGGGGCTAGGGCTATACCTCAGTGGCAGAGCACTTGCCTAGCACATGTGAAGCACTAGGCATGATTCTTAGCACCACATAAAAATAAACGAAATAAAGGCATGCTATCTGTCTACAACTAAAAAAGCAAAAAAAAAAAAAAAAACAAAAAAAAAACACCACCAAACAGATATCTACTCTAATTCTCTTGGTTTTCAATTCTGAAAAAGATGGGAAGGATGACCCCATGCACAGACTGGCTAGCATCCTAATGAAACTGAAACCAAGTGTTTCCTCAACTACTATTCTTTGTAGTTTCTTCAACTGTCTTTAACCACAAAAAGATGACTCTGGGAATATCATTTTGCTTAGGATAACTGCTCTAGGGACAGGAAATGAGACTTCCCATGCTGATACACCTCATAAAACAAAAAGTTGAGGATAATATTTGGAAGTTTTCATTTCTTTCAACTTTAAAATGTGAGAATTCTATTTACTTGGATCATAACTAACAAAAACAAAGGCCTTCAAATTTTTTTCTTTGCAAACTTCATCACTAGCTCTGCATGATGTGGCAAAAGCTAAGGAAACCAGGTTGCTCAATTAAATTAATTGTAATGACAGGAACATATTACCCTCAGAAGCTATTAATTGAGGTGCTCCATTTTTTTTAATATACTGGTGACCATTTGAAGAACCTTTATTCTACTTGAACTCGTGTAATCTCTGGTGAACTATAAAACATAATATAATGAGCATAATTTGTGATAGGAAAGGGAATAGGCAACACTTATTTTCAACCCAGAGGAGAAAGAGATGCCATGAAGATAAAAATATTAGATGTACTATTCTTACGCATTTCAGACCATTTGTGGGCAAAAAGTAAACTGCCCCCATATTGTCACAGGAAAATATACAAAGGAATAATGGTTGACATTAGGGAATAGTTTTTGAAATTATCACTTCAGACAACTATCCCCTCCCTCAAGGATAGTCAAATCCTGGTGGGCCATAAACGTAATAATTGAGCTCAAAGAGGAGAAAAAAATACACACACACACACATATATATATATATATGTATGTATGTATGTATGTATGTATATATATACAGAGAGAAAAAGAGAGAGAGATTAACCTCTTCTATCTTTTCTCTTTTACTAGATCATTAAAATTTGTATTTAATCACTTATGCTCACCTCTCATTCTACTTTATCCTCCCTCAGTTGATTTCATTCTCACCTGTTTCAATTACTACTATACACAAAACTACATATTATCCTGTATTCTTTTGTACTATGTATGTCTTATTCAGAGTATTTACTACAGTTTTACATTTGTTTAATTGATGTTTGTCTTTCCCACAATACTACAAAGTCCATGAAGGAAGAAACCATATCTTTTTGATTACTGCTATTTTTTCTAGCATGTAACACTGTTACATCTAAGAAACAGCAGCCCCTCAAAAAAAAAGGAACGAAAAAAGAAAAATATGTAGGAAAGAACATCAATTCCATAGCTTCATGTTTCCAAATGAAAATAAGCACTTTTAAAGAAACTCTCCTTCCTGAGATCAGCAGAGAGCAAGGTGCATGCTTGTCATAACCCTTTCTGCTTTCTGCATGTTCTCTCGTGGGGTGGGCCTCTCTGTCAACAGAGAACATGTTTTTTGGCATGTTCTCATTCTCATGGCAAATGATCTGTCCTTGCTAGGGATGCCTAGGGTAGTCAGAAGTGACAATAACTGAGTAAGTTCAAAATTAATTTGAGATGCCAGGAGTGGTGGCACATGCCTGTAATGCCAGTGACTTGGAGAGTGAGGCAGAAGAATCACAATTTCAAAGCCAGCCTCAACAACTTAGCAAGGCCCTAAGCAACTTAGAACCTGTCCCAAAATAAAAAATAAAAAGGTCTAAGGATCAAGATATAAAATTAACACCCATAAATCAATTGATATACCAATGATGAATCAGATGAAAGAGAAATTAGGAAACCTATCCTATTCACAAATAGCCTCAGGAAAAAAAAATACTTAGGAATTAATCTAACAAAAGAAGTGAAAGACCTCTACAATGAAAATTATACAACACTAAAGAAAGAAATTGAAGAAGACCTTAGAAGATGGAAAGATATCCATGCTCTTGGATAGGCAGAATTAATATTGTCAAAATGGCCATACTACCAAAAGCACTATACAGACTTAAGAGAATTATTATTAAAATTCCAATGACGTTCTTCATAGAAACAGGAAAGACAGTCATGAATTTCATTTGGGAAAACAAGAGGCCCAGAATAGCCAAAGCAATCCTTAGTGAAAAGAGGCATCACAATACCGGACCTTAAATTATACTACACAGCTATAACAACAAAACGGCATGGAACTGACACCAAAACACGCAAGGGAACAGAAGACACAGAGACAAAACCACATATATACAGTTACCTCATACTAGACAAAGATGCCATAATGACATACATTGGAGAAAAGACAGCCTCTTCAACAAATGGTGCTGGGAAAACTGGAAATCCATATGTAGTAGAATGAAACTGAACCCCTGTCTCTCAACCTGCACAAAACTCAACTCAAAGTGGATCAAGACCTAGGAATTAGACCAAAGACCCTGCGTCTACTAGAAGAAAAAGTCTGCCCAACTTGCCATCATGTCAGCTTAGGATCTGACTTCCTTAACAAGACTCCTAAAATGCAAGAAATAAAATCACGAATCAATAAATGGGATGGTATCAAACTAAAAGGCTTCTTCATAGCAAAGGAAATAATCAAGAACGTGGACAGACAGCAAACAGAATGGGAGAAAATCTTTGCCACTTGCACATCAGATAGAGCATTAATCTCCAGGAAATATAAAGAACTCAAAAAATAACACCAAAACCCCCAGGTACCCAATAAATAAATGGGCAAAGAAACTGAACAGGCACTTCACAGAAGAAGAAATATAACTGGTCAACAAATATATGAAAAAATGTTCTCTAGCAATTAGAGAAATGGAAATCAAAAACTACACTGAGATTCCATCTCACTCTGTCTAATCAGAATGGCAGTTATCAAGAATACAAGCAACAATAAATGTTAGCAAGAATGCGGGGGGGAAAGGTACACTCATACATTGTTAATAGGACTGCAAATTGATGCAACCACTCTGGAAAGCAGTATGGAAATTACAGAGAAAACTTGGAATTTAACCACCATTTGACCTGTTATCCCACTCCTTGGTTTATTCCCAAAGGACTTAAGATCAGCATACTACAGGGATGCACCTACATCAATGTTTATAGCAGCTCCATTCACAATAGCTAAGCTATGGAACCAACCTAGGTGCCCTTCAACAGAAGAATGGACACAGAAAATGTGGTGCATATATACACAAGAGAATATTACTCAGCCATAAAGAAAAAAAAAATAACTTTAGGACTTTTGCTAGTAAATGGATGGAACTGGAAACTGTCATGATAAATTAAATAAGCCAATCCTCAAAAAACAAAGGTCAAGTGTTCTCTCTGATATGCAGATGCTAACACACAATGTGGGGGTGGTGAAGTTTACTGGATTAGACAAAGGGAGATGAAAGGAAAGGTGGGGATGAGAACAGGAAAGACAGCAGAATGAATCGGACATAACTTTCCTATGTTCATATCTGAATATATGACCACTGTAACTATATCATGTTCAACCACAAGAATAAAATCCTAATTAGAATAAGTTATACTCCATGTACGCATGTCAAAATATACTCTACTATCATGCATATCTAAAATAAACAAATGAAGAAGTTTTTTATTTTTTTAAAAAAAAGAAAAGAAATGGAATTGGGGGAGGGGAGGGCTGAGGATATGGTTCAAAATCCTGGGTTCAATCCCTGGTACCAAAAAAAATTTTTTCTTTAATTAATTTGAGGTGAATTATGAGGCTACATACTTAAGACTCACTAATAATAGTATTTTTATCACCACTTCTGCTTCTTCTATTTACTTCTCATTTATACAAACTCAGAAACAGAAACTAAGCTCACTACCTCATTAAAACGCTACCAACACATATTCAAGGTATACATACCCCTATAACTGTCTATGTGATTGACACTGTCCTTAAATCTATCAAGGACAGAAAATTCTACCTCCTGAATTTAATATGCCTGCCTCCTAATTCCCTTATAGAGTCATCCAAACCTACAATTTATTCCTCACAATAATCCTTTTAAAATCATATATCCAATTGATAATTACCATGACATCTATTCATTCAACTTTTACTGTGCATTTATCTATAAGTAACCAGCACTGTGGCTAGGAAGGGGGGGGATAAAATCAAGATGCAATACCTGTCCTTCTGAAACTTACATTCCATAACAGAATGCAAAAGAAGTAAATAGACAAAATTATTTTATGATCTTAATTGACATGAAGGAAGCAAACAAAAAAATAAGATAGAAGGAGAAATTTATTAGATGGTGAAAGAGTGATCTAAAAAAGTCCCTCTGAGGAAATACTGAGACCTGAGATCAAAAAGGAATTTTGATGAAGAAAGAAACTCACGCCAGAAATTTTTTTTTTATGGCTGAGTAATATTCTCTTGTGTATATATACCACATTTTCTTTGTCCATTCTTCTGTTGAAGAGCACCTAGGTTGGTTTCATAGCTTAGCTATTGTGAATTGACCAAAAGATCTTTTCCAGGCAAAAGAAAGAGCATGTGTAAAGGACTTTAAGATACAAAAGAATTTAAGGGATTTTAGGAACTACAAAAAAACCATGTGATAAGAACACAGCAAAGAATGGTTAAAGATGAGATTTAAGATAAAAAACAAAGCAAAGATAGAGCAGGCCCTTGTTGACCATCATAAAAAGTTCAGAATTATATTTACTGTTGCACAAAGACTTTTCTTCAAGTTAAATTCCCATATCCCTCAAGTATCTTCCAAACACCATTGTGATCCTTTTCCTTACACTGGTTATCTCCACAGTGCAGAATAGTTAGTCCAGCACATTTAAAATGCAGTACAGGGCTGGGATTGTGGCTCAGCGGTAGAGCGCTAGCCTAGTGCGGGGGGGACCCGGGTTCGGTCCTCAGCACCACATATAAATAAAGGCATTGTGTTGTGTCCATCTACACCTAAAAAATAAATAAATATTAAAAAAAATAAAAGCAGTACTTAACACTAAGCCTGCTTCTCTAAAGTATGATCTTACCAGTAAAGAGTAAGATTCCTCACCTTAGATAATATGCTTTAATTAACAGTCTCAGATCAAATGAGCTCTTGTAAGTTATATCACAACACATTTATTGAGTTTACTACAGTGCTAAATGCCTCCAGTCTCTAATGCTGCTGCTCAATCAACTGCCATGACCACCTGCTCCAATCATGACATTGCCTCTCCTGAAATCTACTTTAACTTCTCAATGGTAACCTATTCACAGCTTCACTCTTGAAAATTAAAACCAACATACCACCAACCAAGCCTGACTTTCTTATCTTAATGGTATCAAACAGCATGCTTAGTGCCATTCAGAGGTTAAAGAAAGAAACTCAGGCCAGGAGCTATACAATCAAATTTGCTGGGCTACTCCCATCCTTACATAATCTAAATCTAGTCAAGGTGCTATTAAACTCCACTATAAAGCGAAGAATTATTAATGGAGTTAACAATCATCTACTGTAGTTCTCA